TATTATTATTATTATTATTATTATTATTACCACTGTTATTCATTGTGGAAAATATGTGTGAAAGTTTTGTTCAAAAAAAGAGAAACTTGGTTTTAGTCTTATAAGTATGCCGAAAAACCTTTGCGCTTTTCTTCTTCTTTCTTCTTCTTCTTCTTCTTCTTCTTCTTCTTCTTCTTTTTCCGCTATTATTCAAAGGTTATAATTACAATTTTTTTTTGGAGACATTAATCAATGCTATAGTCATTAGACACTCAACTGAAGTAGCATAAAAGAACCGTTATTAGTACTGTTCTGATTTATTTCACTTTTCTGAGCTATCCAATTCCATTTTTTTCACTTCGCAATGCGTTATGTTAAACATAAAAAAAAGCTCCTATATAAATAAGGAAAAGTTTTTTTTTTTTTTGACAACACTATAGTTTAAAGAGGTAAAAAAAGTGTAAAGAAAAAGCTGAAGTTGAAGATGACAAATGATTTGTTATATTACCGTTTAATGTATTCAACTTTTTTTCACTGTTTACGTCAAAAAAAAAAAAATTTGTTTTTATTCTTTGATACTACTGAAAATGAAAAACTTCAATAATACTTTTTTTCTGTCAGTAAAGTAAATAGTTGTTTGATGTTTTGAAAAAAAAGGAAGTTAAAATAATATGAACTTAAAAATTTTTCTTTTTTTGATGATAGTCAAAAAAAAAAGAGATACTGAAAGAAAAAAGAACAATGCAGAAAAAACGAAGCAATATTTCTCTGAACAGTTCAATGTTCTCATCTTATGCTATTTTTACTTTAAATCAGTTTATATAATTGTTAATTAGACAATTCAAAAAATAGATTTTTTTGCTAATTTAACTAAGCAATTAAAAAAAAACGAGAAAAAAATTGAAATTTATTTATTTTTTTTCTTCTATTTCTCTGTTTAATTGTCTGTCGAAAACATTTTGATACCGATGAACAATGAGGAGGAATTGGTTACTTATGATAACTGAAGCAGTATTAAAAGAGACAAAAGTTTCGCAGAGTGTATCAGATTTTTGGATAACCTAAAAATAAAGCAGAAATTGGCAACTGAACCGAACGATACCACCATTTATTCTTTATTTTTTTTAATCTTTGCACTGTGTAATCAGTTTTCAATTTTTTTGTTTCATTTTACACATTTAATGACAAAACTTAGTGTAAGAACCAAAAAAAAAAAAAGTAATTTGCTACTAACTGAGAAGTAAAATTTTTAGCTTCCTTACTGCAATAAAATTGAGGCAAGAAAAATGGTATATAAGAGAAGATTTGAATGACAGTTTGATAACAGTTCTTGAGAACAAATCTGAAAATGCCGTTTCTTTCATTGTCCCTAGTATTCCTCTTTAGTTTCCAGAACAAAAGAGGTGAAAAAAAAAGAAGAAAAGTATAAAAAATCTTCGTTTCAGTATTCAAATTTCCAATAAAAATTTTTTCTTTTACTTAAACCATATCAAATAACGGTATACAATTTGTTAATTTAATTGATCATTATCCAGCATTTTTCCTGCTTCTTCTTCCCCTTCACCCATCCGCAACTGTTCCCCCGATAATAATATTGCTTACTTTTATTTCTTCTTTAGACAAACAGAGCAAAAGAAAAAAATGGAAAAGAGGAAGCAAAAGAAAACTTACGTCAAGAATTTTTCCTTTTTTTTTGCAAGAAGACCAGCAAAAATTTCTTTTTTTTATTCCAAAAATTAATAAGATAAAAAAAAGGTTTCATACACAAATAATATTTTTTTCAACTGTTTCTTCTTTTTGCACCTTTTTTTTTCTTCTGGCACAATATTATTCTTCAACAAATTAGTTTTGCAGTGATTATAAACAAAACTGTTTAACACTGAGCTGATTTCAGCATCAAATATGACAATTATAGACAAATAACAGAAAAAAAAATTTTTTTTTTTAAGTAACTAAGATATTGATTATAGATAAAGAAGAGGAAGAAAAAACCATATATTTTTAATATTTTTTTGCTTAACTGACAGTTATCAATGCAAAACAAGGAACATTTATGTGTCGAAAATGACGTGACTGAAGAATAATAGTTGAACGATAAGCAGTACCAGTGACCCGCTCATTCAACACGTATCCACCCTGTTGAAGAGGAATAAGACAACAGATATGATAAAATAGAAACTGATTAACTAATGCTATCTACCTGATATTGTGGTAGAACTTCTAAAAATGTTATAACATCTTGATCGTCAGCTTCATGTGCTTGACCAAGCAACAGATCACCGTAACCAGTCAGTACCAATTCTTCCAATTTTCCAATGTTACCAGAATGTATCCAGTCATGAATGTCTTCTTCCAAATCTGAAAGCTTAGACTGCACGGTATTAATCTGCAATTGTTCCAGCAGAAAGCACATGGCACTAGAGATTGTCAAGGTTTCTTTTTCAACTATCTTTTAGTCTATAGAAAAAAAAAGAAAGAAGAAGGAAAAGAAGTAAGCAAAAAAAAAGATAAAAATAAAAAAAAATTAATATGTCTATAATCTGTGCTATTTGCTAAGCCTATAAAGATTAAAAGAGATTCATATTCAAATTAGTCTTATAAAAACTGTGATAAACTAAAAGATTTGCTCCAAATTACCAATCTAGACTTCAGGCTTCTGCGGAACAAAAGGTACATTAGCGTCAGCATAAACACATCGTAGACGGTAGAGAAGACGAGAAGAGGTGGAAAAAAAAGTTGGTGAAAAAGAAAAACAGTTACACCCAAAGATGGTTTTTTTTTTTTTTTTTGCAGATAATCAAAGCTATTTAAAGCAAACCTTGAAGGAGGAAACGACTCAACTCCCCAGAAAGCAATTGATTCATAAGTGCGTGTTCTTTAAATGTTTTTATGTTAAGACGTCGATCATGATTTCGATAATAGAATGGTGTATGTCCACGCTAAAATATGTGTAACTTTTTTTCTTCTCTTACTTTTAATGATAAATTTTGTTAAAATATTCGGTAAGTTAAAAAAATCATTTGAAAAAAAAAAAAAAAACAAAAAGGGAAATAAACTTTTTTTTTCATTTTTTTATAGTGAAAAAAAAAAAGAGATAAACATCAACTTTTTCAAACAGCAGTTGAAAAAAAAAAAAAGATTTATAAAACTTTTTTTAATTAAAATGAAGTTTTTTCTTTTCGATAACCAACTTTATCTTCAATAAATGCATCTCCTCCAGCTTTCTGAAGCATTTTAATAATTATCTCACTGCTGGGATCAGCGGAAGCTGCATAATGCAACGCTGTTCGTCCATTCTGAAATAAGATAAAGAAAAATGGAAAGTTAAAGGGCAAGAAGATATGAAAAAAAAAATTTATATGACGACAAGACAGGAGGCAGAAGGGGTATACGGGGAACGAAGGTAATTGCAGGATGTAACTTAGATGCAACTTTATGCATTTTTTACTTTTCTCTACTCTTCTTTCCTCCTCTTCCCCCCCCCCCTTGACTAATCATCCATTAAGCATTAAGACAACTAATTAAGCTTAAGTAAGCTTAATTAGTTTCGTTCATGTAAAAACAGATGTAATGGACTAAAATTTCAGTATGACGCACATCCAAAGACTAAGTTTTTTTTTTCGTCTCCCGATAAATGCATATTTTTTCGATATGTTTTTAATGATAATTTTAATTGGTAAAACCAAACGCCGGTTCAAAATGCCTTGTTATTTTATTTTTCTCCTTTTTTTTTCTTTTTTTGCAAAGAATTGGTACTTTTTTTTCGTTTTGAAATTTTTCAACACTACAACTAAATTGCTCATCATCGAAGTACAACAGTGAACTCTGTGTTCACAACCAATCGATGCTTTTCAGTTGAATTTATTTAACAGCCCTATATCGTCAAAGACGACTTTTTAGGCTAATTAGCGATTTGAATGTTGAATTAACGTCAGATTGAAGAACTTTAATCTTTTATAGCGGCAAAAAAAGCCACTACTTTGTTACCGTATTATCAGTAAATAACCAAAAAAAAAAAAAAGACAATTTGGGAAAGAAAACCAAGATTTAAAACTACATGATCAGTAGCATTGACACAGGACGGATATTTGGCTAGCAGATAGCGAACAACGTTTGTCTGCTCATGAAGAATTGCCTTGTGTAATGGTGTCATGCCTAAAAAAAAGTACAAATACTTTAATGCGAATCTATACCGTAAAACTAACTTTTATGAAATAGGTGTTAACTTGGCTTGAAACATTATTCGCTAGAATGCTTGGAAAGTTTTAATTGCATTAATTATTTCAAAGATTGTCAAAAATAATTAAACAAGCGATCATAAAGATTTAAACTGATTACTTTTTAATTTATCAGACAAAAGATATATAATTTCGGTATATTAAAGATTATTGATTAGCATATCAAAAATAAATGCCCAAAAGTTTTTGATATAGTTTTGAAAGCTTAGAAAAATGAATAAGCAGAAACCGTATCTATCTCTGGCTACAGATAACTGTTCTCGATCAATCAGCGATTTAACCCGACGCATATCGCCATCGTCGACTGCCTTATGTATTGCATCTATTTTCGCCTTTAAATTACGATACAGTAACTACAGAATCGGTTATTTACAGTCTTTGAATGACTGTTAGCTTCATTTTTTTAATTCATATAAGTTTTATGCTAAAGATATGCAAAAATTACGAAAAACTAAGTTGCAGTAGTTATCAATAAGTTTTGTCCTCATTATTTTAATGCTTTATCAGGAATACTTATTTAACATGGTATATTCCGGATTAAAGTTGTGTTCCTAATATCATATAAGGTTGAAAAAATTGGATATTTCAATGCTTATGGCTGCTTTAGAACTTTTTTTTTTCACCTGATACTGCGAAGCGCCTTTCAGAAATTCATTTGCTTGCGGATTAACTGAGGTTTTGTCGAGGAGCATATGAAATCTGCCGTCTAGTAATAGTTGCTCTAGTTTTTGTACATTACCGGCTGCTAACCACTGCTCAACTTCAGCTTCTTTCGGTGCTTCTGAAATCGAAATTTGTTGACATTTCAAGACGTTCTTAAAGTATTCAAAAAAAAAGCAAAAGAAAAAGCTTACAAAAAAAGGCGTTAAAAAAACAGTAGAATAGAATAAAATAGAAATGAAATAAATTTTACTTACCTGGATCTTCAGAGATATCATCAAAAGAAAAACGATTAACAACAAGTGATGATGGCGATGACATTGCTGATGATGGCCGTATATACTCTTCAGCATTTTTTCGATACTGAGCTGCTGTTACACCTTCCTAAAGTTATTTGGCTTCTTCAAAACTAATCTAATAAATTAAGAATTAACAGAAAAAGAAAAAAAAAAAGAGAAAACAAGAAACATGAAAAAAAATGACAAAAAAAAGAAAAAATTTATCAAGAAAAAAAAATTACATTTAACAGTTGTATTTACCATATAAACAATAATTTATTTATGTTAATAGCACAAATAAAACAATAAACTATATCAACTTCATCAGGTAGATTAACGTCAGCACCGTACTCCATCAGCGTATCATAGATGGCGTTTTGTTGAACAGCTGCAATATGAACTGCTGTACGGCCATCCTGGAAAAAAGAAAAATTTTAAAAAAAAAGAAAACAATAAAAAGAAGTTAAGACGTTTTTTAGTTTTTTTGGAATTAAACA